GGTCTTTTTGAGACGGTCTCCCTGTAGCCCCAGCTGGCCTGGAACTCGCTATGTAGACCAGGCTGGCCTTGAACTCAGAGAGATTTGCTTGCCTCTGCCTCCCAAGTGCTGGGACTACAGGCCGTGTGCCACCAGGCCCGGCTAGTTTATTTTTACTTTATGTGTATGATTGTATTGCCTGCAAGCATGTAAGGGCTTTCATGTCATACAATGCCTGCAGAGGTCAGCAGAGGGCATCAGATTCCCTGGAACTGGAGTTAGCGATAGTTGTTAACTTCTATGTGGGGACCTGAGTGGGTGTATGCTCAAATGAATATTAAAAAAAAAAATTCACAGTAAGAATTCAAACACTATTAGGTAAGTGGCAAAGCAGCAATGATCAACCAATGAACTCTTAGGTTTGAGCTCAGGCAACGGCAAACACTAAGGAGAGTCATCAAAGGAGCTTTGTGGAAAGGTGGGGTCTAGACCTGACCCTGAACTAGCATTCATATAGATGAAAAAGGGAGGTAAGTGTTTCAGGGAAAAATACAGTCCAAAACCTGTCCTAGGCCCAGGGAGTAAACCAATCTGTCGGGGACAGGAGTCTGCACAAGAGCTTGAACAAGAATCAAGCTCAATCTAGAATAAGCTTGACCCTGGTGAACATGATAATGTCTGCTGACTTCACACGCTTAGGTATGCTATCATTGAATGTTTGCATTTACCTCAAATTCATATGTTAAAACCTAATCGCCAATATGAGTATTAAGAGATGAAGCTGGGGCTAAAGAGATGACTCCGTGGTTAACAGCACATAGTGCTTTTCCAGAAGGCAGGAGTTCAAGTCCCAACAACCTTGGGTGGCTCACAACTGCCTGTACTCCAGCTCCTGGGGGATGTGACGCTTCTGGCTTCCATAGGCACCTGCACTCACATGCACACATACACATAATTAAAAATAAATCTTAAAGTATTTTTGAGAGGGACTGCTAGGCATGGTGGCACATGTTTATCATCATAGCTACCTAGGAGGCTGAGGCAAGAGGACTGCTTAGTCCAGAATGAGCAATATAGTAAGACTCTGGGGTGAGGGGATCTTGTTAAGAGGTAATTTTGTCATACATGACAGCAAAGTTCTCATGAATGTGATTAGTACCTTATAAGAAAAGTCAAAGGAGCATATTGATTCTTCCACCACGTGAAGATGCTGCATGAGAGCACCACTGAAGCAGAACTGTGTTTGTGTCCTTGGTGTTCTGTAGAAGGTATGACTGAAGAGCAATGACCGTATTGGTGGAAATCTCCAAAGTGTTCAAAGTGTTGCACGGTGTCTCCTAAACACCTATGCTAAAATACATGAGTAAAGAAATGAGGGGCTGGGGAGAGGGTTTAGTGGATAAAGTGCCTGCCACATGAACATGAGGACCTGAATTTGGATTCCCAACACCCATCTCTACGCATGCACATGTGCACATAAACACATTCAGCATCTATCACACATACCAAAAAATATTAATAATAATAATAAGAAGAAGAAAGTAGGGGCTGAGGAGATGGCTCTGTTGGCAAAGTGTCTGTCATGTAACCAAGAGGACATGAACTTGGATCCCTGACACCTATGTAAAAATTCAGAAACGGGGCTAGCAAAATGGCTGGTAGGTGCTTGCCACCAAGCCTGATAACCTAAGCTTGATCCCTGAGTTCAATGGTGAAAAGAGAGAACTAACTCCGTCAACTTGTTCTCTGACTTCCCCATGGAGAAGTGGCACACTCATACATACCGTGGCGCACTCATACACACAAAAAAATCTGGACATGTTAGTACATGCCTACAAGCCTAATGGAGGTGGAGACAGGAGGATCTTTGGGGCTTGTTCTACCTGAACTGGTAAGCTCCAGGTTCAGCGAGAGACCCTGTCTCAAAAGTAAAGCAGAGAAACAACTAAGAAAAACACCCATTAACTTCTGACTCCCCCACATGCATAAGCACCCCAAAACACACATGTACATACACTACATACACATACTGACACAGAAATGACTTTAAATGTGGAAACTTTAATGAAAAGGGACACAGTGCTTGAAAATCTGGAAAGTTCTTGGCCTTCTTAGCCTGTCTTTGTAGAAGCAAATGTGAAAGCCTGGGTCGGAGAGACTATTATAAAGAGCTCACCATGGATTAGCTCTATATAATCAATCAACACAATGGTAGGATGACCCTGAAGGCAATTCCAAGGCTAGGGCTGCATTCCCAATACAGGCCCAGGATGCCTGGGCCTTGATGGCTCAGGACACCCATGAGACCTCAGAGCTTACTACCCAGCACATCAAGTCTCTACTATCTACATTCTGGTGTAACATCCCACAACCCCAGGTATGGCACCTGTAAGCCCAGGTGCAATGGAGACTGCAAGGGACACTCCTCCCAAAGGTGCCAGTGGTAAACTTGAGTGGCATCCATTCATTACTAATTCTACAGGCCTGCTGAGTGCAAGAGCTGTGAAGGCATGCTACATCAAAGGACGTCCTATGGAACATCAAGGCTGAAGCTGAGAAGGCCACAGAATGGAGCCACCCCAGAGAGCCCCGCAATGGGGCACTATCTTGTGTACCCCACCAGGCAACACCTTGCAGAGTTGTAGGGTAGGACTGCCTAAAACCCAGAATGGGACACCCAGAAGCACAGTACACCAGCCAAGAAGAGGTATACCCACATGACTCCAACCCTCGAGAGCTGCAGTGCAAGTTTCACCTTTAGGGGCCCAAACTCCATCTCAGTGTGTCTGGAAGGTAGGATATCCAGTCAGATGTTATCCTCCAGACTTGTCACAATGTTATTTGCCTTGGGGAGGTGGGGGTTGTCACCCCTTCCTTCTTTCCTATTTCTCACTTTTGGCATGCATGGGAATGTCTGTTGAGTGCATGCTCCACTACTGTGTTTTGGAAGTACACAGCTTATTACAGAACTCACAGTTTGGGGACCGTAGCCTAAGGAGAAATGGTTCTTGAGTATTTCTGATTTAGATGATGCAATTCAGATCACACTCTAGACATAAAATGTTCATGCTGTTGAATGATTAGATTTTTGAGGCTGTTGGGATATAATGAATGTATTTTCCGTGTGAAGACAGGAATTTGGGGGAGCCAGGGGTAACATTGCTAAGGCTTGAATATTTGTGGCCTGCCAAAATACTAGTGCTTAATGTAATAGTATTAAGAGGTAGGGCTTTTAGGAGGTGATGATATCAAGAGGGAAGAGCCCTCACAAATGGGCTTAATACCACACAAAAGACCAAGGGAGGTCATTCATCTCTTCTGCCATGGGGGGATGGTAAGATGGCACCATCTGTGAGGAAGAGATACTCAATCTGCCAGCACTTTTTGACCTTGGATTACCACAATTGTAGGCAACTGATACATTTTTCCACTTATAAAATCACCCACTCTAAAGTATTGTTACAGCAGCCTAAGTGGACTAAGACAGGCTAACAAAGAAATGCAGATTTTAGGCAAAAATAACTTTAGATAATTTTTTAAAAGCAGGTCTAGAACTGACATGAGTTGGGAGGTCATCACTGGGAGTCATTACAGAACAACTGGGGCTATGGAAACACGGAAGCCCATCTCCAGAGGAAACAGTACAACAACAGCAGAGGGGAGAACTCGGGGGACAACACAGGTCTCGAGGGGCAAGGAGGGAGGAAGAGTTAGCAAAGTTAATGGAAAAGCCGCAGTGTTGAGTGACAGCGGTTATGGAAAGAGCACTGTTTCTCCATTCATTAGTGCTCCATTTTCTCAGTATGGATTTTAGACTAAACCTAAAGAAGCTATATTTAAAGCTACTTATTTTTTTAAAGACTATAGAAAAAAAACAATGAACAGTTACAAAGGGGTTATGGTCTTTAGGAGTCAAGCCTGGTCCAGGATTGCAGTGGGCCCCAGGGAGAGCTTTCATGGCTAGATTAACAATCTGCAGTCACAATGACTTTTTAACCAGAAGGAACTGTTACTGGGAAAAGAAGTTTCCAACATCCCTGCTCTTCTCATCCTGTGCTTTCCATAGGCTAGAATCTTAAGATGTATAATTATTTAGGGAAAAATGGCTAAAAAACAGTTTTTGCTGCTTGATACAAAATGATGCTGAATATTACCTTTTCGGATAGAAATTTCCAGCACTGAGGTAGTGGTGAAAGTAAAGATCTAATATAAGAAAACAGGACCAATTAAGACCGTGGTGCATGACACTCCTCCCCAGAAACAAGGGGTGAAGCAAGAGCAGGAAAATCATCTCTCATCCCCCAAGCCCATGAGGCCAAGTGCCAGTGATCCCATTGAACAGACTCCACCAAGATCACTGAGAATAAAAGAACTTCCAGAATGTTCATTTAAACTTAAGTTTCTGCTGGCTTGTACTCTTTACTACATTTAACTTGCTTCTGCCCCTATCTACCTGTTCTCTCCATCACCTGTTTAAACGAAAAATGTCAACATTCTCAAAAACTGAGCTAGCCAGTTGTGTGCTACTGCATAATTCGTTCTTATAAAATCCTCACACATGAAATAAAAAACAATTCGTAATTTTGGATTCTTAGGAACAATAAATTGTGGCAATGTGGAGGGCAAAGCTGGAGGCATCTGTAAGTCTCAAGAGAAGCATGGGGTCAGCTTCTAAAAATTGTACTCTTACCTATCACACCCTTCATCAAGATCTTGGCAGTCACACAAACACGCAGCCACGTGGTTCTTTTCCCCATTTCGATCTATGTACTCGCAGCAGCACAGGGGCTCCAATTCAGGTTCTTCCGTTTTCTTTTTCTTCACTGGCTTCATACTGCCCTTCCGTGTTGGGATGTACACCTGTCACCATGAGGCATAAGCAGCCCTCAGAAGGTAAAGGTGGAAAGAACCCAACTCACATCTTGTAAACACATCCACGCTTCTGATTAATGCCAACGCCTGAGCAATTAAAAAAAAAAATGAGGGGGGGGAAGGGGTTCTGTTTTCATCGGGATTTTGCGGCTCTGCATGGTCACACGGGGAGCGGGGGTGGGGGGCTTTCAGGACTCCCGGGACTCAGAGCTACCTTCACCCTCCCCTTCCCAGCTAGGGCAGGCAGCGTCTGGGCACCAGCCGTTCCCATGGCGACGGCCGACCACGCTGCCCAGGACAGCAGAGTGCGGGCGGCGGCGTTCACCTGCAGGGAAGGGCCGGGCGGTCTACACTCCGGGGCTGCTGTGGACACTCACCCTCGCAGGTTCAGGGTGCGACGGCCCGGCGAGCACTGCGGACAAGCCCTGCCACCGGAGCCACCCACCGGCAGCCGGGGCAGCCTCGAGGTCGCGGTCCAGCCCGTCGCGGCGCTACTCCACTGCCCCGCTGATGTGAGGACTGGGCGGGCCTGGAGAATGACCTTGGGAGGGAAGTTACCTGCCCTCCGAAGGAGGTGCGGCGAAGGAGGCGGAGACCCAGGCGCAGGACAGGCTCCTCCCGGGCGCGGCTGCGCCTAGATCCCGGACGTGCCGGGCGGAGTCCCGGGACCCGCCACCGGCCGCTGCCGCCCACCTGTGAACACCCGTGGTGCGCGCCGGCGGTGCTGTACCGCCGCCCCCGGTCTGCCGGGCAGGTCTGCGCGCTTCCGGGTGCCCCGCCCCCGGCGCCGGGGATCCCGCCGCCCGCACGTGCGCCGCCGGCGAGGCCCCGCCTCCGGCCCGCGTTCCGGAGCTATGTGCACCTGGCATCCCCGGTGCCCGCGTCCGTTCCACGAACCCCAGGATTCGCCCGCAACGGGGGATCGCCCGCGGTCAGCCCTCCTCCTGCGCTTGCAACAGGCATTGTGGGCGATCGCTACTGCCTGCGCCCGAGGTACCTACCCACTGGTCACCAACCTTCCCTTAAAGGCCCATCTGCACCCAAGTCCTGAGTGATCTAGCTTGTTCCTGGTATGCGTGCGTTCCGGCTGCAGGCCTCTCCAGTACTTTTGTTTCAATAGTCAGCACACTTGAAATGAACTGCCTAGAGCGTCCGCTCTGGGTTGTATCTTTGCACAAAAATTTCAAGACTGCCGGCCTGTGTACAGGTTTCCACTACCCCGGGCTTTCTAGGTTAGGTTTGGTTTTTAAGCAGAAACAGCAGAAAAATTACAACTTAGACATTTTAGGTTTTATTAAATTCAGTTTACGTAACAGGTTTGATTTTTTTATTGGTTCTGCCTACGTAGTCTTTAACCTATGAACCAATGAGGCCATATTGGTTCTCTTTGAGGTGTATTATACAGCACAGTTTGAGAGAAATCACAAAAATAGTCACTGACAGTTAACATTTTTCCGAGTTTAGCAGTTTCAAGTTTATAATCCAGTCACTCTTGCTTACAGCCAGACATTCCATATATTCTGACCCAAAACAAAGAAGCAGGAGTTATTGCACTGTAGACCCCCAGATAGATTAGTTGAGATTCACCCAGAGAAACCCATTTTCCCTCTAAATTAGTATTTTCATTACATGCAGACTTTTTAAAAATGATGGTAGCAATGCCGTTTGACTTTGGTGACACTGGGAAAAAGGATACATTTCGCTAAAGGTAGGTGTGTGTGTGTGTGTGTGTGTGTGTGTGTGTGTGTGTGTTTCAGAAAAAGACCTCTAGAGAACAAAACAATAAACACTTCCTGAACTTTTCCTAAACCCCCAAAAAGGTCTGATTTCAAGTTAGGTCAGTCCTTGTTTTCAAGTGGTTACTTGTACTGAGACAAATGCCTAAAACGTTTTTATGAAAGAGCCCAAGCTTGTGTCTCACAATTTAACGTCAGTGTGGTTGTATCCCAGAGTCTTTACTGTAGAGCTGAAGTTTGTGTCTTGCTTATAATTGACCAACTAAAACAAGCCACACAGGTAAAGAATGAAGCGAGATGTAGCAGCTACTGAACACAAAAACTATCTTCAACCAGATGGCTCACTTGCACTGTGAATGCCTGCTAAGCTGAATCTAAGTGTCGTTCAAGTACACATTTGATCTGTTACAAAATGCCCAGATTTTAGCATAATTGTCTAGTTTCTAAAACTCAGGAAACAGTTCATTTTGAGCATTGGTATCCTAGCTGTTTCCTTTTCCAAATTAATGTACTGTCTTTTGATGTATGAAGAAAGATAATCTCACCTCTGGTAC